TATACTAGAGCAAATAGTTTAATAAATATAATATATCTACCTTTACAAATATTTATACTGGTTATACTCTGATTTGACTACTATAAAATTTATTCTAAAGAATCAAAAACTCACTAGTGATATATTAAAAAATATTGAATTTTATACTATTATTAAAAGGCTTAATTCAAGTACACAGTATTAGCTTCTTTCTAGAAAATACAATATTCTAATTTATTATCGCAATTTGTATAATACTATTTCAAAATTTAAAAAAATTAATTCTCATGTGGATAATAATGCATCACAATTATTATCAAAATTACTTAAAAAAAAGAGAAAGATTCAAAATGAGTTATAGAGTAGCATTTTGACCCAAATACCAATGCATTAATACATCTCTTCTGATATCTCCCAATCAACTTGATCTTTAGATACGATATAGTGATATTATTATTTACGAAAATATAGCAAAAATGAATATTTATAATATACTACTATCACTCTTAATTGCAATTGATAATACCTATCGATCTCGTCTTATTATACAAATAGTTTTAGATGATAAAATAGCTGAGTCATATTCCTGGCTACTTGAAGTTTTAATTAGATCTATGAATAGGCTTTATCTAAATATTATTTTGATCGATGCTGACCCTGCTATGACTCTAGTTGTTTCAACTATTTTACTCTCTACTAAATATCTTTATTATGTTTGGCATATTAGCCAGAATTTACAAAGATAAATTAGAAAGTGATTGGGATTTTTTTATTAAAGATTTTTATAAAATACGCAATTTATTAGATTCACAAACTTTTAAAAGTTATTTTAAATCTTTATTAGATCACTATTTAAAAGCAGCATAATATCTTCATAAAACTTTATATTCTGATAGGCAATCTTGAGCAAGAGCATATACGTTTCGTTACTTTACTGCTAGTACACAAGCAACTAGTTGTATAGAATTGATTAATTCATATGTCAAAGATATTATATGTCATGGTCAAATAATTCTGTATGAGCTGTTTAATTCACTTGGTTTATTAATTTCCAGTCAAGACTATTATTATGATTAGCTAGAAATTGTCAAACCCTAATATTAAATCACCAAATGTTTGTGACACTATGTATAAAAATATTGATTCTATCTTTAAAACCTTTGTTGTGTCTAATTTAATTGAGAAAATTCACTATGAAATAAATCATAGCTTATTCTATCATTCAGCTAAAATTAATTCAGAATCTTTAAATTCTTACCGAGTAAATAATTATTTATTTACAAGTTATCTAATTTATTAACGATATTTTATAAAAAAAACATGGCTATTATAAATGAGCTTGTCAGTGAAATATAAGATTAATAACTATTAACTATATCAATATTTTATTTTTTATTTTTGTTATAGGTGCAAGATAATAATACAATATTCGTCAACAATATATTTAATTATCCACTAGTACATTTTTTTGCAATTTTTAAACAAGTTTAAGACCAAGTAGTCAAAGTTTGAGAAGTAATACACATGATATAACAATATTTTCGGTTTCATGTATTTTTGTTAAAGAATAGCTTATTTACATGTAGTTGTATGCTATTAACAAATCATGAATATCCTTGTAAACATTTTTTCAGAATAATAGTATTTTCTTTGACTGCAAAATTTTTTATTAATTTTGTAGCAAGTCATTGGTTGTATGAGAAATACCAAAATAAAAATCTTGGTACACAACCTCTTGTCAATTTATCTGCAGTTTTTTTATCTAAACTATCAAAAGAACCATCAATCCCAACTACTATATTATGAAATAATAACTCTACAAATTTATTTTTAGTATTATAGTTAAATGCAGTTTATTCTTCACTTCATGCTACTAAAAAAATAATATATAAGAAAAAGATATATGCAGAAACTATCGAAATTGCTCATAAAGCAATCAATATTGCTATTAAAATAGATGATCCTGACATGCTTAGATTTTTAAAGAAATATATTACTCAAAAAGAATATTCACTTGTTGAAAATACAACTAGCATATATATACTTAAAGAACAATCTAAGTCTAATATTCCTGAAATCTTATCTGTCAGATTATTTGTTAAGAATACAACTAGTATAAATATACTTAAGGAAAATTCCAAGTCTAATATCTCTGAAACCTTATCTATTAGAGTTTCTAATTCTATAAAAAAAATTAAAAAAAGTAGACTACCAAAAATGACTTGCTATCAATTATCATTAAAAAAACAATTATCAAAAATCAAAAAAATCAACTTAAATTGACATGTAGTTCAGAAACCAATACTTGTAGTGAATACAGTGATAAAGGTTATAATTATCGATAGTATGCAAAGAATGGAAAGAAGGTTCATGACACATTAATTATTTGTCAATTTTGTGGTGGTAGTAGGTATAAAAAAAAAGAATTGCACAACTATGATTTTGTTAAGATTAATGATGAAAATAAATGGGTAGAGTCTAGTAATTTAGAATCAGAATCTAAATAAATAGTTGTTAAATATATTTAGAATAGGTCATATATTATATGAGATCAATGAATTAATAAATATATAGTTATCTTTTGGTATGTACATATCTTTTATATAGTTCAAATCAGAGTATAACCAGTATAAATATTTGTAAAGGTAGATATATTATATTTATTAAACTATTTGCTCTAGTATA